TAGAAGGTTTTAAGGTTTACGATATTACTTCTCTACGGTTTTGGTCAGTGTGTAGAATAGTAATGGTGAGATTATCCATTTCCATACAAGAAACATTCGGTATCCAGTGACAAAAAAGTTAGCGTTACTGTCAGTTGAAATTTCGTCTTTTCTAGCATTAATGATTGTTTCCTTGCAAACCTTTTGTTTAAAGTTGTGTGGAGTGTCGACATCTTGAGTATAGCATTATTTTCTAGCTACATGTGACATCCATTTTAGTTGTTGCTTTTGTTCGATGTCTTTAAGTGATTTACGAGCAGTTGTTTTCGAAGGTCTGTCTGAGTGCAGCTGATAACAAGCTAATCTTATTAGACTATTAGAACGTGTAGGACAGTGATGCTTAATTGTGATAGTTACGCCCATTTGAATATGCTATGGGATCTAAAGGGGGAAAATAAATGTCCAGGAGAGTGATGGGGCGACAAAACGATTTTAACAGGCCAAAAGAGAATTTTGCCTTTTCAAGACTGGAACTATTTACAATATTTTGTATACGCATTTTTTTTCATTTTTTGCAATTAAAATAATTAAAAAAAAAACATCTTTCGGTCTACACATATTTTGTCTTAGTTTTGCCTATATATGGAAAAATTATCCCTTGAAGATGACAGTTTGAAATTATCGAAAGTACTTGGTATGTGCCCTCCATCTGACAACAACATGAATATATTATTCAAGGAATTGATATAAAGTTAATGGCTCATTAAGTCTTGTTAGCGAAGTGATTTCGCCATTAATCACATCAATACGTTTAGTTGAATAATCTAGATATATTATATCTATTTTTATTTGAATCTTTTCAAATTCACGGAACAGTTTCTTAGTGTTGTCACAAAACCGATTAAGAAAGACGCCGTAGTTTTGGTTATTTCATTTATTTTCGCTAGTACTTTCAGTCTCATCCAAGATCATCTTCAGGGGGTGAATATAATCATACTAGGCACATTGATGAGTTGTGATACAGCGAAACAGGTCTCTCTCTCTCTCTCTCTATATATCTATATATATATATATATATATATATATATATTAAATATGTGGTGCAGTTCAATTTACATTACATGAATCATTCATACAAAAAACAGATATTGAAGTTAATGATTTAAATGGCGAGAATACATCTTCGCAAACAAATTTAATGAAGTACATTAACCCCGAACCTGTAGATGAATGTTATGATCCCTGTTTATAAATTCCAGTTGCATAAGATATTTTTAGTTTTTTACAAACTTTCATCTGTTCCTACAGACATCATTAACTTCTATATCTAAATCATTAACTTCTATATCTGTTTTTTGGATGAATGATTCATGTAATATATATATATATATATATGTATATATAAAAGTGAACATAGAAGTCAACACTTAGAGACGACAGTCTGTTTCATGACAGATGCAATCGTCAGGCCTGACGATTGCATCTAGCATGAAACAGACTGTCGCCTCTAAGTGTTGACTTCTATGTTCACTTTTATATTTACACACGCTCTATCTCTGATACTGAGCCCTTTATCCCATAAATATAGCACATCTTAAGACTATATTTCTTCATATACCTATATATATATATGTGTGTGTGTGTGTGCGTGTGTTCCTATAGCAGAATGCGGAAAATTTCTTGTTCCGATTCAAGGGGACCTTCCCAAAATAATTAAATAAACAATTGAGTAAGTTATAAATAAATAAAATTGTGATGTTTGGTCATGTGGTCAGATTTTGGGAAGACCTTTTCAACACTCATCGGTAAAAAAAAACAAAAACTAATACGTGTTTGTATACACCATAGTTAACGTATATGTTGGTGACCTTTGAACTTAAAAAAATCCCCACCCCTGTCTTCTCCTTCAGTTATAGAATGTGAACCTTAAATTCTGTGGTTTATGGTAAGTAGTGTAGGCTAACCTCTGCATTGGTAACTATCGACACAAATATTTTTTTACTGAAATAACTTAATTCACATTATTATAATGAAATACTAAAAGTGTAGTGTACTCTTACCTTATATAATATGTAATATGACTGCACAACAACAATAAATACATATACAGCAAGAAAGAAATTTAAAACCATCGTCACGCACTGTAAACAAAGCAACTGATAGCTTTGGGTGCGTTCAGAGCGTTTCGGCAGACAGAGCGTTCAGGGAAAAAAGATGTTTATAGTAATAATTCAAGGAATAGACTGGTAATTATAGTTTAGCATAATAACCACTTCTTGCCGGCAGGCAGGGAGGTGCATACTCTCTGTTTGTTACTAGCATTATTCAGGGTAACATTATTAGAACCCAGCTATACCCCCTCCCATCATGCCCCCCATCATGCTCCCCATCATTCCGCCCCCCATCATTCCCCCATCATGCCCCCCAACCAACTACCGGTGAAAGAAGGAAAGCGCGTTTCAAGTTGAAAGCACTAAACTTTACCAAGGAACATAATAATTCCTATAATAACTCCCTACAGTATTTTCTATTAGAATTTGAGTGATAAGAAAGTATGTGCTAAATGGAATTTATTTAATACATTCAGTAGAATACATTTTAAATGAGGTGTCGTCTTGTATGGCGAATACAGCTCGAAACCTGAATATTAACTTGAAAATTTGGGTGTCGTCTTATACGCACCTTGCATATATGGTATCTATTTATCCCTACATCTCTCTCTCTCTCTCTCTCTTTACATTTTCTTACCGCACACACACGCACACAGACACAGACACACACGCACACACACACAGAGACACACACACACACACACACACAAGCGCACATGTGTATGCGTGCACTCGCGTGGTAGTGTGTGTACCTATAAGTGTTTCTGACCGAAGATTCAATGTATTATACAATAAATGTCCTAAACCTTTTTGAGTTGAAGTACGATTTTACAAGTATACAATAGAAAGTACTACTGGTACTGCTCAAAGATAGTTGCGGCAAAAAATGTGTACATGAATTTGCCCGTTGTATTTAAATTAAGTACTTAATTACTTATCTATCTATCTATCTATCTATCTATCTATCTATCTATCTATCTATCTATCTATCTATCTATCTCAGTCTCTTTCATATCTAGCTAGCTAGATACAAGTAAAAGTTAGATGTCTATAAACCCCTATCCTAAAATAATACTCATCAACCAAGCAAACATACATGACTATAATTTTTTTTAATAGAAGGAAAACGTTCAATTTAAAACTTATTATTTAAAATATATAATATACAAATTAAACTGAAACTAAAATAATAATTATAAAAAAATTCAACAATAGCAACAATTAGTCACTTTCGTTTGTCAGATATTAAATTACATCACTTAGCCTCTTTCATAATTTAACATGATTTTCAGTAAGCCTAAATTTACGAGCGTTCTTAAATTAAAAAAAAATATATGAAAAACTAACGACATTTTGTTTTCTGTTTATCAATATTTGTTGCAAAATAAAATCCTTACATTTGCCTTGATGAAGTCCACCAGAGGATGAAACACGTCGGCTAAGATAAGTTCCCCTCTCTCCTCTATTCACACACACACACACACACACACACACACACACACACACACACACACACACACACACACAGACAAAAAGACACATACAGATATACATTTTTTACAATGATGTTTACCCTGTACAAGAACCACTCGAAGTAGATGCTTACAGAGTAAAAGGCGTAGTTTATTGGCATATGTGGAGATAACGGTTAACCGTAGACTAGAATAGGTTAAGATTGTATAGCTTGTCTATAACTATGAGATGAGGTATTATGATTACTTGTATTATTTACATTAATAGGACTGTTCTCCTCATCTTCATTGCCATATTCACAACGTTTCGGTCGTTTCAGGTCTTCTTCAGGTGATTGGAATTTCGAGCCGAACACTTTATTTCGTTCACCCTTTATTTCATCCACCTCAAGGACACATGGCGCAGTGGATAAAGAAGTAGGTTAGATCCAGTGACTCGACCCAAAGAATTGTGAATTCAATACCAGAAGAAGGCCGTAGCGTACAACGACCGAAACGCTGTGAATGTTGCATTGAAGATAAGGATAACAGTCCGAATAATGTAAATAATGCAAGTCATTATTATGCCTCATCTCAGAGATATAGATCAGGTATTATGATTACTTGCATTATTTACTTGCCATACTCACAACGTTTCGGTCGTCGTACGTTCCGGTCTTCTTCAGTTGATTGGAATTTCGAACCGATCCCTTTATTTCGACCACCGGGGTAGATTGTTCTAGTTCCACGTGCCATGCCTCCTCCGGATGTCTTAGTTATTTCCCATTTAACTCAAGTTTTTTGGTTCAACGCTACTGTGGCCTGGTATTGAACTCATAAATCTTTGGGTCTAGTCACTGGATCTAACCAACGTCTTTATCCACTGGGCCATGTTTTCCCGAACACTACAAGGTAGACTGTAGTGTTCGAAGAAACATTCTATTGGGAGTCGGTTTCTCAAAGCAACGGCTTGTGAGTTGTTGTTCGGAGGGATACGAAGGGAATGCCGGTGGTTAGCTACAAGGTGCTTGCTATTGTGAGTCTTAGCCGTGAAGGATAGAAATGGTGAAGATAAGGAATGTACTTTGTCTGAACAGTTTATATGACGTGTTTTCTATTTGTCTGTCTGTCTCCGTTATCTCTTATTCTCCCGCTCTCTATCCACGCAATTGCTCAGAGCAGCTATTTGCTTTTCAACGTGGTATTTAATTCCCACCCTCCTCTGCTTGTATCACAGCAGCAGCGACATGCACCAGCCAAATAAACAAACCAATTGATTTCCTTTGGTCTTTTCTCGTCGTGTAAATACAGCAGGGAAAAGCTCAGCAAACAACATTCTTTGTGCCCTTTTCATGACCACTTCTCTCCATTCAGTTCACACTTACGAGAGAAAAGCGACACAAGGAAGAATTCCAAACGGTAATGTAAAAGCATACTTATCTGGGAGCACTAGTCTGGCATGAGGACAAGAAAACTGGTATCAGGAAGAAAAGCTGAAGCATGTTCATATCTATCTATCTATCTATCTATCTATCTATGCCAGTCTCGTCATTATCTATCTATCTATCTATCTATCTATCTATCTATCTATCTATCTATGTCTGCTGACATATATATATATATATATACAAAATTGTTCAATTGTTAGCTTCGGCTCTGAACAATTGTATCTTAGAAATGATTAAAGAAATCTTAATGGAATTCTCTAAGAATTTTATAGCAGTATTATACTCTTTTTTGAGCAATAAGAACGTAAAATTACACTCCAGACTTAAAAGAATTATCGTGATGAAATCGATCATAAATAAAAATGACATATTCATCAATAATTAATCATAGCTAAAGATCAGAAGCTGATGAAGGATTAATATATATATATATATATATATATATATATATATATATATATATATATATATATATATATATCCGAGTGTAATGAGAACGAAAATAATATATAAATTCTAACGTTCACAGCATTAATTCAAAAGAGGGCTCAATACCGTTAATAGAGAAATAATAATTTATCATAATTTTTTCATATAGACAAAAACAATTTACTCACTACAAAGATGCAATATTTAGGTTGGAGTTGTCACTACTAATTTTGTAATCAATAAAAGTGTTTTGTAAATTAATAAATTAAGAGGTGGAGATTTCTTCTTGGTATGTTGCGGGACATAAGTTATTCGATTTTTTAAAGGAAAAAAAGTTTTAATTTAGAAATTAAGATATAAGTAAAAAGGTATATAAAAGCATGGGAAATTAATATAAATTTTATAAGCATATTTTGACCTATTGTCGGACTGTATAACGTGTAGAATAATTAGTATTATACGAGGGTCATTCAATAAATAAGGTGAATTTTTCGGTATAAGGACTTCTAATACAGATAGAAGCTTACTTTTTTTGTTTTACTTCTTTTTCACATGGATTTAATTTCTTTTGCAGATTAAAAATAACTTTTAGAGTTTTGGCGATTAACAAAGATGGCCGACCAAGAAGCATGCTCCAGTATTGAACAGCGGTCAGTTATCAAGTTTTTGGTTGCTGAAGGGTGCAAACCAGTTGAAATTCATAGGAGAATGTCAACTGTGTATGGTGCCACATGTTTCAGCCAAAAAATGTCTACAAGTGGGCTAAATTGTTTAAAGAAGGACGGAGCAGTGTTGAGGATGAAGACAGGCCTGGGAGGCCTACAGAAGTGAGGTCTCCTGAGGTGATCGAATAAGTCAATGACCTCATTCAGTCTGACAGAAGGGTGACAGTGGATGACATTGCAAGGATTTTGAGCTTATCTGTTGGGACAGCACACAAAATTGTCCATGACGACCTTGGCTACTCGAAGGTCAGCTGTCGGTGGGTGCCAAAGATGCTTACTGCAGAGCACAAACAGAGGAGGGTCGAGTTGTTCCAGCAGTGTCTCTCCCGCTATGAGAAGGATGGTGATGAGTTTCTGAAGAAGGTGGTCACATGTGATGAGACATGGGTTTGGCACTATGAGCCTGAGTCCAAATGGCAGTCCATGGAGTGGAAGCACGTAGGCTCTCCAGCTGTCCTCGAGGAAGGTGATGCTCGCCGTTTTTTGGGATATGCAAGGCCCAATCACCATTTCATTCCTTGAGAAAGGAAGCACTGTGAACAGTGCCAACTACTGAGGCAGGTCAAGAAAGACATAAAAAACAAACGCAGGGGTCATCAGTCAGAAGGAGTCATCTTGCATCATGACAACGCAAGGCCTCACACAGCAGCCCAAACGGTGCAGACCATCAGCGAGCTTACAGCCCAGACCTTACCCCTTCAGACTTTCACCTGTTTTGTCCCTTGCAAGCGTTCACGAGAGGCAAGAATTTTAAAAGTGACGATGAAATCAAAAGTGTTGTGAGCGACTGGCTGAGACATCAGTCCAAAGATTTTTACGCTGAGGGAAAACGGAAGCGTGTGCACAGATGGGAAAAGTGTGTGACAGTGCTGGGAGACTACTTTGAAAAATAAGTAAACTTCTATCTGTATTAGAAGTTCTTATACCGAAAAATTCACCTTATTTATTGAATGACCCTCGTATATGCGCAAAAACAAGAAGCTAGAAGTTGCAAATCTTTGAAAGAACCTTGTTTTATGTTTACAGGAAAAAATATGTATTATTGAACTTTTGAACAACAGCCAATTATTAAATCAAAGATATGAAACCACCGTATTCTGTAGGCTTATTAAAGATCTAACATTACAATCTTGCTAAACGTTTAAGTCCATAACTCTTAATGTTTAAAGCTATAACTCACCTCCTTTAACATACCTCTTCACTAATTTATCTAGATTAGGATTCTTAAAATGTTTAAAATATTTTCCTGTATTGTGAAGGTGGACTGGAATGTGTCTTTAAATGTTGTACGATAGAGATTGTTTCCGACAAATGAAGTGTAAGACGCCTTGATAAAGTTATGATCGTCGAGCCAATATGTACTTACTTTTTTGTCAGAGATACAATCTCCCACACATATATAACCAGCTAGCTAGCTAGCTAGATATAGATATATTTATTCAACATGTTTTATTAAATGATATAGACCTGATGCAAGTTAAAATTAATCAAAGAAGTGCTGTATTTTTTACTTACCCAAGTACTTTCGATCTCCTCCGAGGTCATCCTCAGGGGTGGATTGCAAAGACAAACTTATTGTAATTGTGATCGTTTTGATGGTGATTTTTGAAAACAAGCATGAACGCGTTCGGTTATAATTATTTTAATTTCATCAGTTGTGGCTATGGTGTTCAAACTCAAGTGTAGGTTGCGATACTTTATTCCCATATGACATTGTCTATCACCCACACTTCTCCGTAACTCCTGCTCACGACTATTCACGTGTAGGATGGGGCTTCACAGACATCTCTGGAACCGCCACCGCCACAAGGCGATTAGGGATAGAGGATGACAATCACGATGAATGAATGCGAAAGGGTGCCGACGACGAACTATCTATCTATCTATCTATCTATCTATCTATCTATCTATCTATCTCAGTCTCTTCATAATCTATCTATTATCGAAGTTTATTTTTTCTTTATTCTATCTATCTATCTATCTATCTATCTATCTATCTATCTATCTATCTATCTCAGTCTCTTCATAATCTATCTATTATCTAAGTTTATTTTTTCTTTTTTCTATCTATCTATCTATCTATCTATCTATCTATCTATCTATCTATCTATCTATCTTGTGTCTGGTCATATCTGTTTGTCTATCAATATGCATACTTGTTAAAACATTTTGGCGAGAAAAAAAGAAGCAAAGTTCGTTTTAAGAATAAATAAGAAAAAAGACGATTAAAAATCTCTTAAAACATCTTGCACTTGATAATCCGTCACATAAAAACCGGTAGAAAAACGAATATAGAAAAGAAACAACGCAACAAAAATACAAAATTAATAAACGTAAAAGAAAAAAAATTCGATATAAAAAAATTGAAAAAAAATTCCTGAATATTACTCAATTCAGTGAATCTAAGAGACAGAATAAATCTGATTTTGTTTCGCAAAATCGTTACCATTATTATCTTTAGTGAGACTGAACAAATTCCTTAAGTGAATAGAACATTGATTATAATTGTTGAAAGATCATTTATAATAGATCCCGGTATAACTAAAAACTGGTTATTAAAAATGTTTATTTTTTTTTATATTGCTTGTCTATGTATTTATCTATGCATATATCAACAATCAATTTCCCTATCTATCTATCTATCTATCTATCTATCTATCTATCTATCTAACCTATTTTAGATCTGTTTATCTATAGGAGAGATATTATATATATATTCCATATATCAATGTACTTTTATGCAAAAATGATGATAATAATTATCTATGTTTCTCAGTTACCTGAGTGATCGTCATGTGCGAGAAGAAATAAAGGAAGAGAGAGAGAGAGAGAGAGAGAGAGAGAGAGAGAGAGAGAGAGAGAGTAATAAATGGACGAAAGTAATCCGAGGAAGACTTGGCCTATTGGATAAATAATGGGATTGTATTTCCTACTCTACTCATCGTCAAGGGTTTTCGTTGAAAAATCAAAGCAGTTTTATCTGTTAGAAAATGTAAACGAAACATTCTACTTTGGTGTTTAGAAGCGGGCTACCTTAGCTAAGGACAAGAGTAAAAAAAAAAAAAGATTAAAAAAGAGAACCAGATTAAGGTATTTTAAATTATTTTTATTGCGATCACCTTCCTCTGTGCGTTGAGGTTGAAATAATAGACAGAGAGCATCACTGGAAAATACGAAAATTTAAGGAATCAGCACATAGGCCACAAAAATCTCCTGAGCCGACTAAGCATAGATATGAATACAATATGGGAATCAGTAATAAGGAGTGCTAGAGAAAAACAATGAATAACAACAAAAAGTGCAATATAAGTTCTGGTAAAAAATGAAATAATATTAACAGAAGAATTGCAATATGAGCATTGTTAAAAATTGATTGCTGCGACATTAGGATTATAAGACCCAATAATTCATACACATCTGTACTCAAGGACAAATGGCCCATTGAATAAAGACGTTGGTTAGATCCAGTAACTAGACCCAAAGAGTTGTGAGTTCAATACCAGGCAACAGCAGTGGTGAGCCGAACTTGGAGAGTTAAAGGGAAATAACTGAGACATCCGGAAGAGGCATGGTATGTGGAACTAGAACAAACTACCCGTTGGAAGAAATAAAGGGTCCTGTTGGAAAATTTCAACAGCCGAAACGTTGTGAATATGACAATGAGGACAACAGTGTAAATAATGTAAGTAATCATTATACCCCATCTCAGAGATACAGACAGATATTATTATTACTTTTTTGCTTTATCTGCTACAAATTTAAAGTTTACTTGCAGCCCAAAGTTTTTCTGAACGAGTTCAATTCCCTCAGAAGGAAAGGGAAGCTATATTTTATTCGTTAAAAGACGAAAACGAATTTTAGCTGTTAAGAATAGTAAATTGAATTTTCTTCATTTGTGCTTCGAAGTAGGTTACCTTAGTTAAGGAGAGGAGTAAAAGCGAAAGAGAGAGAGAGAGAGAGAGAGAGAGAGAGAGAGAAAGATGAAGGTATTTTTAATTTTAATGTTTTTATTGTTGTTACCTTCTGCTACGAAACCGAAGCTTTCTTTTCGTTTAAGTCGAAGCCATTTTGGTTTTAACAAAATTAAAACTTCAATGTAATACCCATTTACTTTTGTATCTGCTACTCCTGGAGTAGTTATATCTTCCTATTATTATTCTTTATGTGCTGTGCCCTTTAGAATGGAAACGATTATGTCCCTCCACACCTTCCTGTCCCTTGTCACTCTTACTAAAGTTTATCTTTTTGCTATTTCTCCCAAACCCTGATTTACCATCCTTTTACTCAATCCATCAAGTATTCTTGTCTTCCGCTGCCCATATTTCCCTCAATCTGTCCTGTGAGTATTATATTTTTCAAGCCCTCTTTCCTCATTTCATCTTCCCGAAGTTTCAACTGCCTCTTCATGATGCTATGTACAGGGACCGACACTTTACAAAAAGAAAACGAAATAGGCAATAAAAACAAAAGTTGTATATGCAGAGACCTGATAGTTTGACAACTGACTAACCTTTTTCTCTCTACCCTTTTCCAGGATGGAATATGAGTGGAGAGCAGCGGTTGTAGCTTCTTTTCTCGCCGGGAAGAAGCCTGTGGAAGTGATGGCCTGGTTTGGGTTCAAGAGGACCATGGTCATGGATATTTGGAGGAAATGGAAGGCGAGGTGAGAACAAGAGGTTTACTGCCAAACGAAAGGCCCACAACATTCGTTCTTTGACCGCTAGGACCGACGTGTTCGTCGCTGCCGTCAAGGAGACAGTTGACAATGATGGAAACCAGAGCTACATCAAGATCGCCGCTGACATGGGCTGTCACAAGTCAACTATCTGCCAAACGATCAAGAAGGACATTGGTTACTCCTACCGCAAGTCTCACAGCATGCTCATCACTAATGGCCCCAAGGAGTCGAGGAAGGTCAAGGCGGTGGCTATGCTGAACGAGCTCAAGCATGGGTCCGCCGGGATGCTGAGGTTCTTCTCTGATGAAAAGAATTTCATCCAGGACCAGACGAGCAATAGGCAGAACAACAGGGGGATCTGCAAAGATATCGTTGAGGTTCCTGTTGGGAAGCGTACGAAGTTTCCATCCTCTGTCATGATCCTTGGCGTTATCTCCAGCGAGGGGGACGTCATGCCTCCGTTCTTCTTTCAGAATGGCCTTAGAGTCACCGCTGAGATCTAACAGGAGGTGCTGAGGAGCGTGGTGAAGCCCTGGGTGGACGAGATCGCCACCGGACTCCCCTACGTCTTCCAACAGGACTCCGCTCATGCACACCAAGCTAAGACGACCCGGGCGTGTCTGCTCAACAATGTTCCTCGCCACTAGTCGCCGGAATTGCGGTCGTCTTCCTCACTCGACTGCAACCCCCTTGACTATTTCTTCTGAAGCGTGATCGAGGCCAAGACCAACAATCACGCCCACAACACGGTCGACTCTCTGAAGGTTGCCATCGTCGAGGCGTTCGTCGCTATGGACAAGGACATGGTCGTCAAAGCGTGTGACTCATTTCGCGCCCGCCGTGAGATGGTCGCCGCCGCTATCGGCGGTTACATTGAAAAATAATGTCGTATGTAACTCTAACTACTGCTGAATAAACTGCCGGGCCTCTGCATATAAAACTTTTGTTTTTCTTGCCTACTTAGTTTTCTTTTTTGCCAAGTGTCAATGTTTCACTGCTGACGATGTCCTGTGACGTTGATCTCTGGCAGTGGTGAGCTTCTGACGTCGAGCATCCTATGGGTTAAGGGGCGTGGACGAGAGGTAGTACCGTTAGCAGGGGGAGTTCGCCGTGTTCTTTACAGGGCAGCTCGTCTGCCACAAGTCCTCACCTGTCACCCAGCTCTCACTTGCGGCCCCTAGAAGCTGTCGCATGCAACAGAAGCCAACCCCCAGGCAACGACACACACACACACACACACACACACACACACACACACACACACACAGGTTTATCTGGCTCTTTATGTTTATTTTAGGCTTGCTCTACTTCGTGTATTGAGCACTTTACGTCGTTACTTTTACTCGTTTTGGAGGGATTTTTTTCTTTGCTCTGAGCTTGAACTCTGGATGATTGTTTTCGCCTCAATCTCATGTTCTTTTTCTTTTTATTTATCATTTTTCCTTGGGTACTGTTATGTTCTACTACATGCCGAAATACCAATATATATATATATATATATAGTGAGAATCACATTTATGGTTGGTTTCTTGCCAAAATCGCTGTCCGATATCAGATAATATGAAAACATATTAAATGTTATTTTTTATTCCACACGGTGATAGTCTTTCTAATAAAAGAAGTGCACAGGTGCCCGTCGAAGTGTTTTTATTTATTTATTATTTCTCATTTAAATATTTTTAGCAAATGTCCATCGTATTTATTTGTTTCTTGTTGTGAATCCATGGAATTGCTTCCTGTGTTTCAGCAGCTTCCAGTTTGGTTTGAATTGGGTTGAACAAATTCTTGGTCAACAATTAAGTGTGAAATTGATGTACCATTCAACTATAAACGACATTAGCGTAGATGAAGAACAGGATTCTACTTAAAGAAAATGGTCCACTCGTAAAACATAGGGAGATGTTTCCTGACGGCGTAGTAATGGATAGCGGCTCGAATTGAGGAATCGGCGAGCTGAGTTCGAATTCCAGTCGAATCCATTACATTCACTTACATGCTAATACCTTTGAGAAAGGTATGAATCCTCTTCTTCTCCCAACCAGCTATGGGTAAATAGCAGAAGAGACTGGGTTCTGTAGCCTTGGATAGAAACTGCTCTACTGCAGAAAGAAATGGCAACCTGCTGCAGGAAAAAGTCTGCCTCGTCAGTCATGTATCGAAAGATACATGATCGCCTAAACGTGTATCACGCATGGCACATAACTGACTGAACATTGGATCGACCATCCGCAAGGCACGAATCGAAGAATATTGATTACTTATCGATTTAGAATGTTTCTAGCCATCCATTTTGGGTGTAAAAACATCTACTCCTCACCTGGATAATGCAGGACAATTATAACATTATGATTTAATTCAGGTTATAATACTATAATGGTTTTCAGTCGTGCAATTTGTTTTATATATAATCAAATATTGTGTTTTGATTGCATTTATTTGTAGCTGCGGGATCTGTTCATAGTTTAAATACAATCACAAATCGATTCCTGACTTTTTAAAGTTATTGATCTTTTTTTATGGATGAAGCAGTCTATTAAGTAGTACCAAAGAAAAAGTTACGGGAAAGACCTGTAGGAGTTAGAAGGAGCGTGCGCGCGCGCGAGAGAGAGATAGATAGATAGAATGAGATAGACAGATAGAAAGCGAGAGAGACAGAGGAGGAGGAAGAGAGAGAGAGAGAGAGATAAAAAGCGAGAGAAAGACACGGAGAGACATGGAGAGAGGAATGGAAGGGAATATAGAGAGGCAGATAGAGAGGCAGATATAAATCGAAAGAGACAGAGATGGAGATAAAAATCAAGAGGGAGTGAGAAAGAGGGATTGATCGATAGGAAGAGAAGGAGACAGAGAGAGAGAGAGAGAGAGGGAGATAGATAGCAATAGAGAGACAGAGAGAGGGGGAGAGATAGATTGAAAGAGAGATAGGGAGAGAGACAACGGGAGATTTATGTAGATAGAAAGCGAGATATATATATATATAGAGAGAGAGAGAAGATAGAAACC